CCCCGCCTCAGCGCCGCGGGGGAGGCGCCGGCCTCGCGAAGCCCCGTAAATGCCCCAGGGTGGGGGTTTGCGTTTTATTTTTTTTAGTATATAAAAATACAGAGTTGCTCCACGCTCGCCCCAGCCGGAGCCTGCCCGCGCAGCTGCACCAGCCCCCCCCTGCCGTGGCCTCCCCGAGGGGGGCCCGTGCTCCTCGCAGGCCGGTGCCGCAGCCCAGGCTGCTCTGCCAGCGGCCCGGGGCGCGCCTGGCCCCACACCCGGCAGCAGAGCCCCCTGCAGCCCTCAGAGGGGTGGGGGTGGCCTTCCACTGCCACCCTCTCCCTGCGCCCTGAGCCTGCAGGCACCTAACGCCACAGGTTCCCCCCCGCCTCCGGAGCTCAGCCTGATCTTGCCTGAGCTTCACCACGTCCATCTGTGCCCGTGCCACCACCACGGCCACCTACAGTGGATGGAAAGGGCTGTACAGTTACAGGTAGTGCAATGTTAGGAACCCCACAAGCTTAACCTGTCCTCCAGAGCAGTTGACCAGAAGGTTAACCTGGTGACTGCACTGTCCATAACTTTTAAAACCCGCTTGCTCCTGTCCAAGCAGATACCCTGTGTCGACACTGCCTTAGCCCAGGCAGGTAAGCCTCAGGCTAGTGGATGGTGACCAGACTTCAGCGGGAAGTGAATGGCTAAGGGCGCTGGAGGGTTCCAGTTATACAGCAGTTCAGTCGAGCAGCTCTGGCCCGAAAAGTGCTAGGGCTCCAGCCTTCTTCTGATCTCGTCAACAAGCTTTTCTCTTGGGATATCAACCTGTAAAGCAAACGGAGAGGAGTAGGTAGCAGCACTGGAACCCTGAGCACAGTGTGGTTCCATCTGTGGATGCCAATGCAGTTTGTGACTGGTTTTCTGGAGCAGTCACCCGACAGATCTGTGCTACAGCTCCCCGAAGGAACAACGTCACCGAGGGAAAACCCAGAGCCTTTCAGTAATCTCTAGATTTTGGAAGCACTTTTGAAACCTGGTGTAAAAAGGCATTCTCACCTCCTCTCTTGTTGCGACATCTCGCAGCTTGACGACTCCATCTGTCAGCTCTTGCTCTCCTATAATGGCAGCAAGGGGGATCCCCATGTCCTCGCAATACTGCAGCTGCTTCAGCAGTTTAGGATCCTTCTTGTACAGCATCTCTGCCTAGGAGGGAGCGGAGAAGGTAAATCATTAGTGCAAAATTTGCTCTGATGGATCTTGCAGCAAAACAGCCAGCACCAAAACTCCACAGAAAACTGCCTCATTACTCCTGCAGCAAGTGGTTGCCTTTAGTGCTCTCACCTGTCTTGTAAGATCTCTGCCTGCTAGATCTCAGACAGGCCCAGATCTTGAAGAGACACAAAACTAGTGGAGTTGTTTTTGCTGTGCTGCAGCTCCCTTCAGACTCTCCCTCCCTCACCTGTACCACTGCCAAGCCCTCATCCTTACTTTACCTTGATGCCTGCGTCCCACAGCTCGGAGATGAGCTTCAGCCTCGCAGCAAGTAAGCGTTTCTGAGGTGTAGCCACCAGCACTTGTGTCTCAGTCGTTCGAACTTTCTCCCCAGAAGCCTGCAGGGACAGACGCGCTCGTGGGAGTGATGGGCTCTGAGGGAATCTGCAGCTCACAACAGAAGCTCATCTCACCTTACCTTCAGGCCTTAACTTGGCTCCCCAAAACAAGTATACTTAAATGCTAACCATCACCGTTCAGTGAATGCTACTGAGCAAGGCTAACCTTCCAGAAGCAAAAAGAGTGCACAGATAAGACAACCTGGGCACATTTAACAAGTCCCCCAGACGATCTGCATTGTGGCACACTACTTAATCATGTGCTGCTGTTTCCATGGGATCTTGGCCTTCCTCCGTCCCTCCTGGATGCGACCTGGACAGCTTTCCAATATCACCTTTGATTCTTCAGGTACAAACACATTGCCCCAGCCTCACTTGCTATGAATCGCAAGCTCAGAACTAAACGCAGAGGGCTGAATTTCCTCACGGGCTTTCCTAGGGTGCTCATTACAGAGTGAGTGCCACAGCTGTTACCAAATTCAACACTTCACAACCCCCAGGACAGAAAACTTTACAGGCAAGAGACAAGAGCAAAGTGACCGGGGCACAAAGTTCAGAGCCAGGACAAGAGCACAGGGACCATCTCTAATGCTTCCTCGGCATCTGCTACGAAACGCTGCCCTCAGCTGCCCAGGCCTGCATCCTGACAGGCTGCAGAGAAGGGCTCTGTCTTCTGTGCATGGACATTCAGGCATGAGAAGAGCCACCCTCTCCCTCAAAATTCTTTCCCCTCGAACATTGTGGAGCTGTAGAGCTCTGTAACAAAAGATAGCTGGCAGCCTAGAACCCTCCCCCATGCACCACCTGCAGTACCTACCTTCACTCTCTGCTCTAGGATGGAGAAGAGCCGCTCAATCCCAATGCTGACCCCCACGCAGGGCACCTTCCGTCCCTTGGGGTCAAACATCCCCACCAGCCCATCGTAGCGACCGCCTCCAGCCACGCTCCCAACGCTGACTGACTCCTCCACGTGGTCGTTCTCCTGCTGCAGCAGGACAGCCTCAAAGATCACCCCCGTGTAATAGTCCAGACCCCGCGCCAGGCTCAGATCGAAAGAGATCTGTAGGATGCAAGAGAAGCCCTGTCACTGGGCGCGCTCGGGGGCCCAGGCTGCCCGGCCACGACGGCAGCACCTCCTCCTGCCTCTGCACCTCCTCACCTTCCCTGTGATGCCAAACAGGGTCAGGTACTCAAACAGCAGCTTCATGTCCCCCAGCCCCTCCTTGGCCAGCTTGTTCTGGGACAACTTTGGGTCCTGGAGAAGCCGCTCTATCAGGTCCAGGCCACCTGTGGGAACGAGCTGTGCCTCAGGGCTGCCAGTGCAGCAGCACCCGCAACGATGGGCCCAGCCAGCCACGTACGTGCCTTGCCCCCCTCTGTCGCTGGCCTTCCCTGCCTGGCCTGGAAGAACAAGGCCAAGGGCTCGACCCACAGTGCTCACCGTGAAGCTGGACATACTCCCCGATGTGGTCTGCAGCCTCAGGAGAGAGCCCCTTCTCTCCGACCATCTCGCTCCTCACTTCTTCCCACGGCATCTGCGAGGGGAAATGAGAGCATCTGTTGCTGCAGGACGTTCTCATCACCCGCTGTCTCCACCAGCCCACATATTCACAAGTGCAGGAAGACAGCAGTAAGCAATCTCACTATGGATCCGCATCTCTCACAGGAATTGTTACCAGAAACCACTGGAAATGCCAGGATTTATTCTTAAGCACACCCAAGAGCTCCCCAAATCCTTTACAAACACCAGTGGCTTAACTGCTGCAAACCTCATTATGATGAGCAGAACCATGACACTGCCCAGCCCCGAGACATCCACCCCCAGAGACTGGAATCGATCTCCCCACGAGCACAATGCTTACCTTGTCCAGCTTGTCCACGGTAGAGCATGTAGTTATGAACTTGCTCTCTGGGATGCCGCAGACGGCAAACACACCATTCAAAATCCGTCGGTCATTGACCTGGGGGCGGGAGAGGCACGCTGAGCTCAGGGGAGATTCCCCCTCCCACCATTTCTTCTTGCCCCAGAGGTGCGGGAAGCTGCAGCTGTTGGTGTTTCCTTGTGCCTTTTCCCCGGTGCCTCAATCCCACGGGAAGGGAAGGCGCAGAGGTGTGAAAACCACTCGGCTCTGTTCTCACCTTAATGAGAAAGTCCCCGAGCTGCAGGTCACTCAGGATCTCGTGCACTATCTTCAGGCACTCGGCATCGGGAATCATCGGGTCGAACTGGCCGGCGATGTCAAAATCCTGGGGGCAGAAGAAGCGGCAGAGGCTCCTGGCACAGCTGAGGTGCTTCAGCTCTGCCAGGCACGCCACACAGCCCTGCGGCAGCTGAAGGCAATCCAGCTGGTAAAACCCACGCCAGTCCTCCGAGCGGTCTCGGACCCCCGCACAGCAGCAGCCACCACAACACTCACGCACTGGTAGAACTCCCTGTAGCGGCCCCTGGTCGTGGCCGGGTTGTCCCGCCTGTAGACCTTAGCGACATGGTAGCGCTTCATGTTGGTGATCTTGTTCATCGCCAGATAGCGAGCGAAAGGCACCTGGGGGGCCGAGGAGTTAAGGACAGGAACATGGAGATCCCCTGAGCTGCAGAAAGCTGAACCTCAAAGCGCCCTGTCCCCCTTTTGCTTTGCCAGCTGCTCCCTGATCTCTAGGGGGATCATCAGCACAGGCTGACGAGGAGTAAGATGAACCACGCTGAGCTCCTCCGACACTGGGACAACTCCATCTTCTGAACCACAGTACATCAACACCTCGCAAACACAGACCTTTGCTAGGTCATTTTGCCCTCTTACGGTGCGATCAGAGAGAGTTCAACATACAGCACAGACATACAGGCATTGAAGTGGAGAGCTTTTTGGTGAGATGTGGAGGTGGAGAAGGCCCCGGGATGGACACCTGCTTTGTACCTGCAGCAAACACCGCTGCTCTCCCAGAACAACTACCAAGGCACTGGAAAGGTGGGATGGGCAGGACAGGAGCACACAGAGCTGGGGACTGTAACTGGGAGCAGGTAAAACCAGTACAGTGGAGCATACTGGTGTGTGTCCACAGCCCACTGAAGAAAGGGCCACTTTGCTGCAGATCCTGGACTGGCTGACGGGTGGTTTGAGGTGGGGTCGCGCCAACGACAGCCAGACCAGCTGGGGTGTCCACCGCTCGGCGGGAAGGGGGGGTTTCCATCACCCCGATGGGACCTGCTAGCAGGGCAGGGGTCACCCTGACCCAACGAGGCGGAGGTGGCAGTGGCCTCGGCGTGCCGCCGTCCCCTCTGCGAAAGCCGAAGGCAGGATACGGTCAGGTCGTAGCGCAGGGCCAGCAGCTCCCCTCCCTGGTCCTGCAGCTCATAGATCAGCTTCGCCTCCTCCCCATACTTTCCCATCAGCGTCTCCTGGGGAGAGGCGAGGGGGGCTGGCGGGGCAGCCAAGGACCGGGGCGGCGAGGGGGCCGGGGGACAGAGCACGGCACCCAGCCCCCCTGAGCCCCACGCACAAGTGAAGCAGAGGGTGTGGGGAGGGGAAGGGGACACTACCCCCACCAGCCCCCTTCGTGCCAGGGGATTCCCCAGCCCTGCCCGCTCAGCCCCGGGGAAAGAGGGCACTCCCCAGTCCCGCAGGAGGAGGGGGGAGCCCACAGCCC